ACAGCAAAACCTCTTTTTTAATCGACAAAACCACGTGAAATCAAGGCCTATGGACCCCTAAAGTCCTTGGTTAGTCCAATTCTGGCTTTCCGTGGTTGAAACTCTTTTGTTAAATAAGTGTTCGACGGGTTCTATTGCCTTCCGCTCAGCAGCACGCATGAGGCTAAGGGAAAACTGCAGTATTCCAGGCCAGGTCTAACGTACATGTTTCAAAAGCGCACTCTCATGTCGCTAGTTTTAAACTTTCGGGGGACAAACCCGGCCGTTCTAGTGCTTTAGAGACTATCAGGGAGCAATGCTCCGAACGAGTAATACTCATAGAGTATGATACACCGAGGCCCTTAATAACCCCAGGCACATTTATTTTGTAACCGTCAATACTTCACTGAGGTTGGTGGTCATCGCGAACTACCATAACTGAGAATTTATGTCAAGAAAAAGAAAGGTGTCATGGGCAGCAGCCCTGCTCAGAGGCCTGTAAGTAGCTCTTTAGGAGTTAGGGCACGATGTCCTGATCTGCCATGCTATATCGGTATGCAGCTTTTATGTAATCAGCATACATGAAGGACCCACCATTACGAAGTAAGTTTGGTATATCACTTACAAGGTGGGAAAATACGAGCGGGCCAAGTACATTGCCGAGAATAACCACACTCCTCACGCACATGAGGTTGGGGATAACATTGGAAATCTTAACATACTGTGAGCGAGTGTCCAGGTAAAAGGATATCAGATTCAGAATTTCACCGCGTGTTCCAAAGGAGGACAATTTCAAGAGAATGAGAGCATTGTCAACACGATCAAAATCATTGGTAAAATGGAAATAGACTGTATGAATTGCGAAAGCAATTTCTCTCGGTTGGAGAACAGGATCAAAAGAAAAGAACTGGCAGGTGTCTGAAAACCGAGTTTTAAGGAATCCATGCTGGACAGCATTCAGTTTCTTATCCTCTGTTCGAAACTGCTGGGAGGGTGTTTTTTGACCGAAAGTCCTCAAATGACGTGAACTGACTCTGCTTGTGTATAGGCAGAATGTGTGATGCCTTCCGAAAAATGGGATAGGCTTTGCATTCGAGAGCAAGACTAAATATTTTGCACATCGGGCAACCGTGCTTCATCATTAGATGGTTAAACGAGGTTGAAATTTTAAGTAGAACACATAAATGCGTTTTGGAATTTTCTTCCCTCTATGCCAGACAAACAGAGTAGATGGGTACGGCTCATTCCCCCTTGATGCCGGTTCTGAGGCCATCTATGAGTGTTTACCCCAATTCCTTTGTGATAATCGTGGCCTTTTCGTGGTGCTGTCAAATGCATCGCCGTGTACTTTCCAAAAGCGTTGAGATGACTCCCAGCAAGCTTGTGCGCTTTTGCAACCACGACAGTTTTCTTTCTGACTATCAGTCTGACGCCTGCTGACGTGTCAAAGAGAGGGTTGCAACACATCTGTCCTCTTCCATCCTCCTAACTAATGTTGTGGTGAGGGACAATACATCAGTACTGACGCTGGCTTTTCGTCCTCAGGATCTCACCACCCAGTCTCTCGCTGCTGACTTTTTCACACATTTCCCTATTTACTGATTATTTTGTCCAAGATTCCCATTGTGTGACTCCTGGGTTTGTTTATATTCTCGATTATGACGTCGAAGACGAATTTATCTGCGTCAATTTGCAGGTCAACAACATCTAAATACCTTTTAAAGTTTGCGACCGCACCGCAGTTTCGGGCTGTTGATTCACTCTCAACTCACACTGAAGCTATTCTTAATGCCGCCCACTTCAGCGGTCATAAAAAGGAAGTTGTGAGATTACCACGTCTCGTACGACCTGGTTTACCCGCCTGGTTATGTCCATCGGTCACTACGACTGCATCCAGTCTTCAAATTATCTGCTCATCCTCAACTACAAGAGAAAATTTATCGTACGGAAGCAGCTTAAAGATTCTTCCGTTCACCTAAGAATCGTTGAAATATTTGAATTTGCTTTGAAAATGAGGCTCTTGCGAGATGAGCGTAGAGAGTCTTTGTCTATTAGCGGCGCGAATGCTTCTAAATCAGTTGCTCAGGTCTTCCGTCAAAAATCATCTGTTGAACACCGCCAAATCATTCCGACTTCGTTTTGTACAGGAAATACTTAATTAAAGCTCAACCGGGATCAACAAACCATTGACCGTTGATTTTGAAGACTGCTGTGCGTCACCGAGATCAACCATGAACAAGATAAACAATGAAATGCTGACACGCTGTGATGGACGCAGAAAACTCACTATCAGAGTTTTGAAATCAGAAGCAGGCATCGGTCTCCTCACAGAAATAATAGTATTTCTCATTCAGCGTAACAAAATCAAACTCCCGGAACACGATGCGAGCAACATGGAAAATATCGGCAAGCAGGGCCGCGAGAATTCCACGAAACTGGCGAAGGTTGGTGTGCACGATGTTAGCAGAAACAAAGGGAAAAACGAAAGAGGCCGTTAGAGCAAACCTTTAGATCAGTCGAAATACAGTTCAACAAAGTGAAGACGGGTGGAGATAAAACTAGATTTCGTATTTCCCTAAGTGCGACAAATCTGGAGCCTATGAAGTCTCTCTGCGCAAAAAAAGTGATCAAACGACCGACAACCCTACAAAATCCACAAATCGTAATCGTATGGATTTACCCATACGACAAACGAGCTATAGCAGCATGCTCTGTGCATGTCTATAGGGCCATGAGAGGCACTGAAGTAAAGGCGTAACCGCTTTCATCACAGATATGATCAAAGTAGCGAGAGCCCTAGACGCCATAAGCCCAATAACAGGATCATCCGGAGCTAGTCGAATGAGTGGCGTATCAGAAGAAGGCATCCCGGTTAAAAGATCCAAGGGGATTTTTAGAAATCGGCCACAGAGTTCACTGTTTGAAAGCACTGTAAACAGTAATCAGGGTCGGGATTCAACCTTCAATCAGTAAAAGAAGGCAAGATGGGGACAGCGGCTTTTTCCCTGAGACCACAGAGTCCCTAGGGCTCCTGGTGAAATAACAAAAGAAACTCTACAACATGCTCTTTTAACCCGAACCCTGAAAGTGTTTAAAATCCAGACAATCTTCTTTTGCTGACCTCTAGTTAGAAATAACCCAATGTTTGTTTCTATAGAATCATCCGATGAAAGTGACGGTAAAAAAACGGTTATCGGCTTCATCAAATACTTGTAAATATTAAGCAAGACAGTGGGATACATATAGAGCAGTAGTTTTCGGGCACAAGAACAAGCAAAAAATGGAGAGAGATCGAGGAACCGGAAAATATGAAAACCAGGTACACTAATGTTCTGAGTCTATTCAACAAAATGGATGCAATCAAACTAACTATGATTATTTACAACCTCACTATATAGCATAAATTCAAACATGGTTAAATGAGTAGACATGCGACGCAAAATTCACGCTGGACGGACTTCACCTTATTTGCTTGAATCGAAATGTACGTAGGAGGGGGGGGGGATGGCGATGTTCATAAAGTATGGTACTGACTACGTCACGAAATATTCCTCCCCATAAAGAACGCTGTTTTCGAAGTACTTAGCTGCAGATTGGGAGTAGCAAACCAACTGGACCTACATACTGTCCTGGTAACCAGACCCGCCAGAAAAGCAGAAAGACAACTCGCTCATTTCTGAGGTGAAGTGAATTTGCCGTAGAAAACGCGTAATATCACTTTGTGATTTAAACTCACGAAACATTGATTAAGATCTGGGGCACTTCAAACGATCAGAAATTTCACTGGAGCAGAAATTATTTCCTTCGGTCACTGAGGACTTCCTTAATCAATATGTAATGATGGACGTGCGATTCCGAAATGGACAAGAGTCAAGCTGTTAGAGAGAGAGAGGGAGAGAGAGAGAGAGAGAGAGAGAGAGGAAGCCGCTTTATTTTCAAATCGTAAGTTCAAAATTTTCAGCAAAAAAATTGACTCCATTCACTATGGGCAGTAAATAAGTTAATAGATCATTCAAGTGTCGAAGTTTAACTTAAAGAAACATTTATTACGAGGATAGTTCAAGTCTTAGCTTCCGTATTTCTTTCTCTTCGCACTTAAGGTAACGCGCTAGGAATGGCAATACAGAAGCTTGATAAGCCTATGTGCGACAAGATATAAGTCGGAAGCAGGGGTGTAGGGGTGTCAGCGGTTGGTTCACGTGATGGTCGTGCTGGTCGCTCACTTGCTTTCAGGTCAGACTACGCCTAGCGTTCACTTGTTGACACTCAACTCTCACCTGTGGCTCCACGTAGCTGGGCTCTGCTCAGAGGCCACACCCCGGGCAACCGTCTCGACCGGTGGGCTTAACCAGATGAGGGGGTCCTGTGCGCTGTGCCGTGTGCACAGGGTTTGTGGATTCCGCTGGATGGAAGGTCGGATGGAACCTTGCGTCGGCACCGTCGTGACGCGGTCCGTCACTGCACGCCGTTGGACAGCCGGTAACGGGATGGATCTCCAATCGATATCGCCTTGACGCGCCCACGTACGCCGTCGGAGACCGCGGCTTACGGCGAATTCGAGTCGCTCTCCACTACAACCCGAAATCGTGGCCCCATAGTGGAGATCGGTCGTGCCACAACGGCACATGGCAGCCCTATTCAGGGATGGCACTGCCAGCCCCAACGAAGGGAAGGGCCTAGAAAAGGTGGCCTAAACACTGCTGGGTACCACGCCGTCTCCAGGCTAGCCAGGGCCGCAGACGTCTAAACATGGTCAAAACAAGTAAAATCGAAACAACAACAATACCTATAACAACAACAACAATACTCGCTCACCTCCTCATCCTACCTCTTCTTTCTCTTCCTCTGCCTATTTTTCTCCTTCGCCATCTTCTTCTCCACCTCCTTCCCGTAGCCCCACTAGTTGTCACCAGACTTGCAGGGTGAGTCCGCTCACCCTGGCAGCCTGGAATGCTCGTTCCCTTTTAGAAAGTCCAAGGAGCAAACGACCGGAACGAAGGACGTCGCTAGTGGATCGGGGAATGGCGCGCTACAAGGTGGAAATCGCCGCACTCAGCGAGACCCGATTCTCCGAAGAAGGCCAACTGGAGGAGGTGGGTGCCGGCTACACCTTCTTCTGGAGCGGTCGACCCAGGGCAGAGCGACGGGATGCGGGTGTCGCCTTCGCCACCCGGAACGACATCGTGGGACGACTGCCCTTTTTGCCGCAGGGCATCAACGATCGCCTGATGAGCCTCCGTCTGCCTCTCCGCCGGGGTGGGGGCAAATTCGCCACCATCATCAGCGCCTACGCTCCGCCGATGAGCAGTCCCGACGCCACCGCAAGAGACAAATTCTACGAGGACCTGCACGCCCTCTTGGCGACTGTGTCGAAGGCGGACAAGTTGATTGTCGTTGGTGATTTCAACGCCCGCGTCGGCACAGGCCACACTGCCTGGAGAGGAGTGCTGGGACCCCATGGTCTCCGCGGCTCAAACGACAATGGTCTGCTGCTGCTCCGCACCTACGCAGAACACCGCCGCATCCTTACGAACACGTTCTTCTGTCTGCCGGAGCGAGAGAAGGCCACCTGGAGGCATCCTCGGTCACGTCAGTGGCACCTGCTGGACTATGTCCTCGTCCGGAGGCGAGATCAGCAGGACGTACTGGTGAAGAAGGCGATCGCGGGTGCTGACGGGTGGACCGACCATCGCCTCGTCATCTCGCAGATGTGTATTCGCCTACAGCCTCGCAGGAGACCACAAGGTAAACGCTCCCCAGGTGAGCTGAATGTTGCCTTGTTGTCTTTGCCCGCTCACCATCTTCATTTCAGCAATGAGCTAGCTCAAAGGCTAGACAACCTTCCAATCGTTGCCACCAACGACGCCGCCGCCACTGCCGAGAACCCCTCCGTGGAGAACCGCTGTTGTCAAGTGCGAGACACGGTCCAGTCGATGGCGCTCGCCGTCCTCGGTCGCGCTCCCCGCCAACACCAGGACTGGTTCGATGACAACGACGCCGCCATCAGCAATCTGCTTGCTGAGAAGAACCGCCTACATAAAGCCTACGTAGATCACCCCACTGAGGACAACAAAGCTGCCTTCTACCGCAGTCTCCGCTAACTTCAGCAACGACTGCGCGAGATGCAGAACGCCTGGACTGCGCGCAAAGCTGAGGAGATCCAAGGGTACGCAGACCGCAAAGAATGGAAGAACTTCTTCTCTGTGATTAAAGCTGTCACGGTCCGCCGACGAAGGGCACTGCTCCTCTCCTCAGCGCCGACGGCAGCACTCTCCTGACTGAGAAGATGCAAATTCTACAGCGATGGGCCGAGCATTTCCGAGGCGTCCTCAACAGCCCTCCGACATCTCCGACGCCGCCATCGAGCGTTTGCCGCAAGTGGAGACCAACGTGGACCTCGACCTCCCGATCTCTCTAGGAGACCATCAGGGCCGTGCAGCAGCGCTCCAGCGGGAAAGCACTCGGATCGGATGCAATCCCTGCTGAGGTCTACAAGCACGGATGTCCCCAACTGATGGATCACCTGATTGCGCTCTTCCAAGAGATGTGGCATCAAGGTGAAGTCTCGCAAGATTTCAAAGACGCATCCATCGTGCATCTCTACAAGCGCAAAGGGAATCGCCAAGTCTGCGACAATCACCGCGGCATCTCCCTGCTTAACATCGCCAAGAGGATCTTCGCTCGCATCCTCCCCAACCGCCTCAATAACCATCTGGAACAGGGCCTTCTGCCGGAAAGCCAATGCGGCTTCCGTCGTCATCGTGGGACCACGGATATGATCTTCGCCGCCCGTCAACTTCAGGAGAAGTGTCAGGAGATGCGGACCCACCTGTACTCTACCTTCGTGGACCTGACGAAAGCCTTCGACACGGTGAATCGTGAAGGACTGTGGAAGATCATGCAGAAATTCGGCTGCCCGAAACGATTCACTCAGATGGTGCGTCAGCTGCACGACGGTATGATGGCGCGAGTCACGGACAACGAAGCTGTCTCAGAGGCATTCGCAATGACCACGGAGTGAAGCAGGGCTGCGTACTGGCGCCAACCCTCTTCAGTCTTATGTTCTCTGCCATGCTGATGGACGCCTACCGCGACGAACGCCCCGGGATCCGCATCGCCTACAGGACGGACGGTCACCTCCTGAATCAACGAAGGATGCACTTCCAGTCGCGCGTATCCACAACCACCGTGCACGAACTCCTATTCGCCGACGACTGCGCCCTGAAAACCACCTCGGAAGAGGAGATGCAACGCAGCATGGACCCGTTCTCCGCCGCCTACGAGAACTTCGGTCTGGTCATTAACACGCAGAAGACGGTGGTGATGCACCAACCGCCACCCCACTCAGTCACAGCCCCCAACGCGCCGCCGCAAATCAGTGTGAAAGGAACCCAACTGCAAGTGGTGGAGAACTTCCCGTACCTGGGCAGTACTCTCTCTCGCAACACCAAGATCGACGATGAAGTCGCCAGCAGGACCTCGAAAGCCAGTCAAGCATTCGGTCGCCTCCAAAGCACAGTTTGGAATCGCCACGGTCTTCAGCTGAGCACAAAGCTGAAAATGTACAAGGCCGTCATCCTGCCGACACTAATATATGGAGCGGAGACTTGGACGGTGTACCCAAAGCAGGCACGCCGTCTGAACCACTTCCACCTCAGTTGTCCTCGTCGCATCCTGAGGCTGAACTGGCAGGATCGAATTCCCGACACAGATGTACTGGAACGGACGGGAATCCTCAGCATCTACGCTATACTGAGACAAATGCAGCTGCGCTGGAGCGGCCACCTAAAGCGCATTGACGACGAGCGACTACACAAACGACTTTTCTAAGGAGGCGTCGCGACGGTTTCTCGCCGTCAAGGAGGCCAGATTCGCCGCTACAAGGATACCCTGAAGTCCTCCCTGAAGCGCCTACAAATCACCCCGACCAACTGGGAGGAACTCGCACTCGATCGACCGACCTGGAGGAGGACAGTGAAGACAGGCGCTGCAATCTACGAAGCCAACCGCATCGCTGCCGCCAAGACGAAACGCGAAGCCCGCAAATCACAACTTCGCCCAGTACGCAACGCCGCCGCACAACCGCTTCCAACGTGTCCTCGATGTCAACGGACATTCCGGGCTCGAATCGGACTTGGTGGACATCTTCGGATTAGATAAGACGGATAAGAAAAGATAATTTTTTATTAAAGACCCGTCGGGGTCCCATCAAAGCAAGTTAAAATAAATTTACATGCGAGTTTTAGACGAGGTAGGCCGAATCTTTACAAAATGCAATTCATAGTTTCTGAATTAGTAGTCCATTGAGAAACATGATGATATAGGGGTGAAAAAAAATCCTTACAAAAAGTTATAAATGATTGGATTAATTTTTCAGGAGAAAAAAAACCCTCAATAAAAATAATGACAGAAAAAAGCCAGCAGGACTGGCCTGTAGGTGGCGGTATATAACGGAATGTTGTAGATCATCGTTAGGGTAGCAATAAATCTCAGCCTTGAGGGGTACGAATGTGGGCCAGACAGGACTGGCTTGCATGCGGCATTGTATACGAGATTCACAATTAAGATCGTCTGGGCCGGATTGATATGCCGCATGAGACTATTCGCGTCAAGGAGGCCAGACGAGAAGAACCCAGATGCGATCGGCCACAGCACGCTTCGAGCTCAGCCGAGCAGTGGGGAGGGGAGGTACAACCAAACTACCAGTAGATGGCGAATACTGAGGGTTTCCCCCTAAGCGTCGACAGACCGCATGAGGTCGGAATGCGGGAGATAACATCAAAAACCGCGAAAATTGTCGCTATGGGGAGGATTGATAGCAGTGGATTTGGAAACCAATTCAAAACAGGGGTTTCTAATGATATAATTAAGAGTTACCACTTAATCTACCACTAAATCCCTGGAGGACCCTTCTCGAAGTCAAGAATCTGAGTGTTCGGGAATGAGACCGTTAACAGTGCCTTTGTACTTACCGGTGTAAGATGTTTGCGTAATTTCGACTTGAATACCAGTAACTTAGGCGATAATGTAATTTCAGGCGGAAGATTATTCCAAAGGAAGGCATATTTGAAAGCAAAGAAGAGGTAGCGCTTAGATGTAGTACAAAGAGGCGGTGGAATCTCCATACAGGAGTTGCGCGTGGCATAAGACCGATCTCTCGGAGTGAGAGTGTCAATGAGCGGAAGACTGGAGCTAGAGTTGATGCGAAAAAGGAAGCAAAGGCCAGCTTCGAGTCTTCTAACCCACAAAAACTTAATGTTCGCCAGCTGACATCTGTGAGTATAAGAAAAACTGGACGAAGCTTCAGAGAACAGTTTCCGGCTGAAAACCCTCTGAACATTTTCGATTTTATTACGGTCGCAGGCGTTCATTAAACCGAAGAAAGGACAGCAGTATTCGAGGAATGGAAGAACAAACATTTGATAAAGTCTTAACTTCATTTCTGGAAGGAAAAAAATTATGCGATATGAATCCACATATCTGCGCGGCTTTGGCAGAGATTCTATCTGCATGAGGTGATAAAGCAAGCTTATTTGTATAACTTAGACCTAGGTCCTTAATGGTGAGGCATTCTGAGAGTGGGTTATTCTGAAAAATTATGGGACCAGGAAGTTTGGTAGGACCAAAAGACATGAAGCTACACTTGGATGACGAAAACTCCATCTGCCATGTCGAACCCCATCTGCTTAAGCGTAGTAAATCTGCATTAATTTTTTCAACACAAACATTTACGGTGTCCTTAGAGTATGAGTAAACGCACTTGAGGTCATTGGCATAAGTAAAAGTTTGCGAATTTCCGAGTTCAGTCGAAATATCATTGATGTACAGAAGGAAGATTAGCGGACCCAGGACGGTGCCTTGTAGTACGCCACTCGTGATCGAGTGGGGTGTCGAGTAGCTATTACCGACCATGACTTTCTGATATCGGTTGGACAGATGGGACCTGATGAAGTCAAGTAGAGGCGACCGGATGCCGAGAGCTTCCAATTTTACTAAAAGACGTCTATGGGGCACCTTGTCAAAGGCTTTGCTAAGATCAAAGTAAATAACTACCACTGACTGCCGCTCATTACGAAGAGAAGTGATTAGATTAAGAAAAGCCAAGTGACATGTTTCGCAGGGTCGCTCAGGTAAAAATCCATGCTGACTAGAGCTCAGAAGCCGATTAGCTAGACAGAAGTCAAGAATTTCATTGAAAATAATCCTTTCAAGAAGTTTTGCTAGAGACGGCGTTTTGTGCACGCCCCGATAGTTATTAACATCGGACCGAGATCCCGACTTGAAAACGGGAATGATAATTGACGTTTTCCATGTTTCAGGAAAGAATCCTTTTGAAATATAAACAGAGAATAAATGACTAAGCAATATGGGAAGGTCGGACGCTTGTTTAATAATCGAATTCGGAATCCCGTCCGTTACAGAGCAGTGTGAGTATTTCAAACGGCTTATGTGTTTCTTAATGAGATCTGAGGAGACATTAATTGTACTAAGTGTCCTATCTGAAAGTGATCGAAAGAAAGGGATCGGATCGGACTCGGTAACAAGGTGTTTTGCAAAGAAAGCACTTAACAACTCCGCCTTATCAGTTTCATCGGTGAGGAAGACTTTGTTATCATTTAGCAGGGATGGAAGTTCGTGACCACGCTTAGAGGAGGACCGATGACGGAAGATGTTAGCGACGGATTTGCCAGGGTTCGAACCACTGAGAGCAATTGATTCTCTTTGCCTGTCGCGCGCTTGGCGCATCCTTGAGGCCATCTCAAAAATCTCTGTGATTCTAAGATGAACTGATAAGGAACTAGTGGATGGGTCACGCAGTTGTCGCCTCAACTTTTTCATCGGTTCTGAAGAAAATGAGGAATAAGGGAATCTGAAGAATTAAGCTTGAGATATCTACGCGGCACTAACTCCAGAATGTCCTTGGAAACATTGGACATGACATCACGAAGAATGGTTGCATCGCTGCAGGAGAGGAAGCCACACCAATCCAAGGATCTCATATAGTTATTTATTAAGTCGCTATCTACGCAGTCGTAGTTCATGTAAGTCCGAACGGCGCTTGTCTTTTTTGAAAAGGCAAGCGGTAAGCAACAATGAATTAATACGTGGTCACTGTCAAAGAGGTCCTTTTTAAAGCAACAGGAAGAGGAGCAATGTCATTGGTAAAGACTAGATCTAAAATGTGATTATCTCTTGTTGGAGAGCGCACCAGTTGGGACCAATTAGAAAAATTGACAATATCTTGAAAGGGCTGGAATCTGGGTGGACAGCTATTGGAAACCCAGTCTATTTCAGGAAGGTTAAAATCCCCAGTGATTATTTTAACATCGAAAGCAGCTTCCAAAATGAATTTAAAGATTTCACAGAGTTGAGAATCATCACTGACTAAAGAATTTGGGGGACTGTAGATACAGCCAATAATTGTCTTTCGTTGCGGCCAGAGAATAACAGATGCAAAGCAGAAGTTTCCCGTGAATGAGTAAACATCCAAGTAATAGGGAGAGTGCTTTAGGTAGGATTTAAGATAAAGAAGACAACCACCCCCACGCCTAGTCGTGCGGTCTTGGCGGTAAAAATCGAAGTTATCTATGAGAAGGGCAGAGTCAGGAATTAGAGAAGGGATCCAAGATTCTGTTACAAATATGATATCAGGCGTCATTTTCAGACCAATGGCTCTGATTTGGGCCATCTTGTTTATAACAGACCCGGTATCCAATAATATAATATCTAATGTGTTTCGAACGGCAATGCTATTTTTGACGGTATTTTAAAAAAATTTGGAGGCGGATATGCATGCTGTGAATTAATTACACCTAGAAAATAAGTACCAGTTAGTCTAGAGTTATTGACGTACGGGGAGTCAGCAAGAGAATGCTGAGTATGAGACCAAAAGGATGTCGGGATATAGTTTTCAAATATTGGAATGCTAGTTGAATTAGAACATGGATAGACTTGTTGGTAGTTAAGTAGTGGAGGAAGGGGAGGAGGAGGGAGGTAAGAAGGAAAGTATGAGCTAGTGGGTGAGGGTAGGCCGCGATAAGAATGAAAGGGTGGGAAACCAGGTCTAGGTTGGAAGTCAAAGGAGATAGGTTGACGTACCTGAGAGCAATTGGCCTTAAGTGGTGGGAAGCCTGAACTAGGTTGGGGCATAAATGATATAGGGCAATTCATGTATGAATTATTTGCTGGATATATAGTAGGGCTTTGATAAGTACCCGGTACGCAGGACAGAGAATTATTCGGGAATATAACTGGAGCTGCGGGGTTTGTAGACGTGCTGGGCTGAACGGACTTGTTAGATATAAGAGAAGGCGCCGTACCCCTAAATGGAACTGTACTACCTATCTTTTGGGTCGGAGTCTGATTCAATTTTCGAGTCTCACCGTTCCGACGCCAAGCCACTGGTGACTTATCTGTAGACCTTACAGCACCCAGTTGGACAACAGAAGTTATCGGTCTAACTGATGTAGACGGATTTTCATGTGTCTCAGCAGGACTATCCGGAGGATACGAAACAACAAATGGGGCTGCTGCTGCTGCTGCTGCTGCTGCTGCTGCTGCTGCTGCTGCTGCTGCTGCTGCTGCTGCTGCTGCTGCTGCTGCTGCTGCTGCTGCTGCTGCTGCTGCTGCTGCTGCTGCTGCTGCTGCTGCTGCTGCTGCTGCTGCTGCTGCAAGTTTAGGGGCAGTCAAATGCGTCAAGTGGCTTGAGTGAGATGGAGATGTAGGAGAAAGAGGAAGGAGGGAGTCAGATGTCGCAGGAGTAGGACAAGCTACATCCTTACGGCCACTTGTATTGTGACCGAGTTGGAGAGCATTAGACTGAGAAGCAGTGCGTTTACGTGAGAATAAATACCCGATTCTACGCTCCATATGAGTAAGATCATGACAAAGGAAAAAGTTTGCCTTTTCTAGGTACGCAGTGACACGCTCTCGATGAGTAAAGATTGTGTCAACCTCGATTGATGAAAACAATTTGACTAAGATGGGTGGATTTTTGCTAGGGGGGGGGGGGACAAGCGTTTGGCATCGGCTATTTTGTAGTTGAAACCACAATAATACAGGGAATTGGTCGCAACATCAATTGGCCGAACAGATCGAGGAACATTTTTAGCAAGAAGTTGTAAGAACGCTTCTGTCTATCACTAGATTCACTGGCGATCAGGTGAACAAGTGAGTCGAGACGCCTACATTCTTCAGAGGGAATATCGGAGATGTTCCCGTCGAATAAATGTCCAAGAATTGTCAGCAAAGTGCCAAACTTTAGCATAAAGTCATTGCAGTGGTTAAGTGCAGACAGATTAAGCTGCCGACCAATTACAACGGGTGACGACTGACTAGTAATATCATCTGACTTAGATTTAGGTAAAGCTTCTGACTTACGTTTAGTTAGGCCATGCTTACTTACAGAAGCCGAGAGCTTACGTCGACCAGTGACTTTTGGTCTCATCTTGTCTCGAGGCAATTTGTGATTAAGAAAACTTCTGGCAGACAAGTTGACTGAATTTCAGCTAGGGGCTAACGATGTAAAAATAAATTACAGCAATTAGAGAGAAATCGGATGCAAAAAAATGAGAATTGCAGAGTGCGATTAGTGAAGGGCATAGACTAGCAGAACTCAAAAGGAGATGGCAGCAGGCGGTTTTGAGAGAAGAGGCCTGTATTTAAGGAAATTCAACTAAAAAAACAGGTACTAAAATCGTTAGGTCTCACAGAAAAACCACTTAAAGTAATATCCTCCACTTATCTTCAAATTTAAAACCAGCGGCTTGACCTAGTAGCTTGACTGCGCCTCTCGAACTGCACCAGCCATCGTCCCCCCGCCCGCCTCTTCCACGCCCTCTACACCGCCAACTAACTCTGACTGCCCTTCTGAACAAATTCTTCCATCCTCCTCCTCCTCTTCCTCCTCCTCCTCCTCGCCCACAGCTCTAACGACGACCGCTCAGGCGGCTGTCCCGCGCGCAACAACCGACAGCATCACCACCTCCCCCGACTCCAGCGATGAGGATCAGGACTACACCTGCCCTCACTGCGACCGCACCTTCACCTCACACAGCGGCCTTGTCGGTCACTTGCGAATCCATCGCACAGACACTGGCGAACCAATACGTGGAGCACCAGCCTACACCCACCGCACTCGCCTCCACTGGCTACAGTGCCCTCGCACCTTCAGGCATCGCATGGGTATATTCCGCCACATGCGCATCCACGAGAGCGGAATTGACCGCAACTCCGACACACCCACGATACCCAGCCCACCCACCACGCCCAGTCTCACTCTCGCTCCATCGCCCTGCGCGCCCATCGCCACTACCACCAACACCGCCTCCTCTGTAGCTTACACTGACACTGCCGACTTCTCATGCTCACACTGTCCGCACACATTCACCTCACGCATCGGCCTGGTCGGTCACTTGCGAATCCATCGCACAGAGACTGGCGAACCTGTGCCTGGAGCACCCACCTATACCCACCGCACTCGCCTCCACTGCCGACACTGTCCTCGCACCTTCAGACACCGCATGGGCCTATTTGACCACATGCGCATCCACGACGACCTGCGGTAGACAACCGCCGGCCACACCACACATTCACTCACTCCCTACCACCTCCTCCTCCACCACCACCACCACCATCACCCCACCATAAATCAACGCTCACATACCTCATACACCCAACTGCCATACAAGTAGGAAGTCCGCATCTCGACTCGGTCGCCATGCGGCTTCGGCTGCACGGGTGACTTGAGTCCGAGACTATCCCGACACGTCAAGCGTCGTGGATAGGAAGGTTGCTGATTGACGCCCGCTCTCGGTTCACGCAGTTCGTCGCGTTGTGTGTGTATTGTGTTGAAAGGCGGACAGGTGGGCTGGGGACGGGCTGAAACAGCACCTTCCACGGCACTCTCACGCAAGTGAGAGACACGCCGCTCAACCCCCGTTGTGTGAAATCCTGGTGTTGTGTGTATGGGGGGCCAGGTCGTGCCGTGGCGAGCGCAGTCATGGTCAGTAGACCATGACAGCCATCGCGTCCACCTCCCACTCCAATCTGCTTACCGGCTCGGACAGCGGCTGGGGTGTGGGATGGGAAGGGAGAGTGAGGTCAACGACTCAGCGCACCTTCCTCACTATAAACAATCTGACGCACTTGAAGCTATCACGGTGCGCTAAAAGCCGTGGCTTGAAAGGTTGCCCACTGACAAGGTAACTTGGTCTTCCTCCTTTACTGGAGGCGGTCTGAGAGTCAGGCTGCAATGGCTCCTTTTTAATGTGGCCTTTATGGCATTCCCAACACAGCGTGGGATCCAAGCCAGGCGTTGGCGGCACGTCCAGGTGCGGCTTCGGTCGTGCCAGCCTCCAAATCTCTGTTTTGTTGGTTGAAATCCTGGTCATTAGTTGTGTGGACTAGGGGGTGTGGTCGAACGTTAAGTTGAGGATCCGTCCGAGCCATCCACCTGCGGCCTCCCTCGCCTCCGGTCTTCTTGACTTGCTCTTGACACCGGGCTCGGGCGGGGGAGGAGGAGAGAGTGTAGGTAGATGCTACGCAAGTCTACCTGCTTTATAAACCCCTGCGTAAGTCACCGTCCCTGCTCCCACCGCTGCTGCAGCTGTGGGGCACACGGTGGACATCATCGAAACCGATGGTCGAACTGTCATAAGTTGGAAGCTACGGCGCATCGGGCGGGAAGACTTCGCGGACATAAGATCAAAATGTAAGGGATGGGTAACGTCATCTAGAATTCGACCAGCACATTGCTTGATCGCACCGAAATGTCGTTGTAAGATAGTGTCAACTAAAAAATGGCACGAAACACCAGCAGAAGAGAGCATACGGAGGACTCATGGCAAAATTCCAAAGTGATTAGGCAAACAGCCATTGAATGGTTCCACGGAACCCGAGATCGATACGGAGGGTGAGCAAAACGGCGCCGCACTGCTGATATGGTACATATTTTTCTAACAAGTTATTTCAACATATTGAATTAGGGTCCCCTGGATAATTCAGCGAGCAGCCCTGACTTCTCGCAATCAATATCGGAAGACACTGTGAGTAACTTAATATTTCCAATGTAGCCTGCTATGCTATGATTTTTAGCATAATTTTCACTTACCTCAATTTAATAGTAGTATTATTTACCATTAATTAGTCAACTAGTATGCATAATTTTCTTATGTACAGTAAATTAAATATTTCTTTTGCTATTAGACATGTGTTCAATTACCGGATACTCCTTTCCGATATACTTTCAAATTAATTAATACTGATTTAAACTGATATCAGTATTTTCCGGCATTTTTATGACAGAAATACATGATAAATCCTTTTATAGGGGACTTAACCGGCTTATAAACCATAAAAAGATGCCTAATTATTCCTTTAGTTCCCCCTAAATGTATTTATCAAGTATTTGTGACATAATAATTTATCCGGCAATGTTTTTCAATGTTTTCATTTTTCATTTAAGTTGCCCTAAGTAACTTTATACAGTTACTTAGGGTAGCTTAAATGATACACCACGCATGCCGTTTAGTAAAACAAAATTATTACCAAATTTGCTCATGAGAAGAATTATTGATTTATTAATGGTGCTTTTTTTACAGGAGCCTGCCGTGGATGAAAACTTCCGTCAACAGAACAGTGTCGTTTAATTGACTGACCAATACATATATGTATCTAATATGCCCCTTGTACATACTACTCCACCACTTTTTTATTTTATATGTTCAGTAAACTACCACATGCTAAAACTTGCTGTCTATTGACTTTGTTTCTGTAGACCTCGGGACAAGTTTGAGTTGTCGGCGCGATCACTATAGTTAGAGGGTGGGTAATACTTAGTAAAAGTAAGTGTTATGGGTGTACATGGATCAGATGTAGAATAGTATAACCTACTGTGCGGAGAACTAGGAAAGGGATAATACTGATAACGCAAATGAGGGGTTAATATCACGGAGAGCGTGGCGTCCCCCTCCCTTGCGCGTTTTTTTTCGAGGACGGGGCCAGACGGGGCTGGTGCTAGCAGGGGACATGTACTTTGGCCGACGTTTGGATGTGAGTTATCAGCCACAACGGTGTTTTTTCCGATGCATAGGTCGTTTTTGAGGAAAAATTGATGAATTCAACACAGAACGATCGCAAATACGACATATTGGCCGAAAAGTACAACAGTTTGCATCATGGTCGTTCACAAGGGAAATTGACGATTTAATTCCCTTCAATAGGGTGCTAGCGTACTGTATAGACGACCTCATAATCTTAGTTCAGACAAACAAGGGATGCAAAACAGTTCAATATATCGAAGGGAAATAGCCACAGAAATGTACAATTAATAAAAATCAACACGTGAATGGAGAGCTACAAAAATGGCGGCCCAAATTCAAAAGCCCGCCAATTGTGGAGCTCATCATTACTAGGGATAACAACTACATTCTTCGACTGAGTTCTAACACTTCCGTGGGCCGGGGTGATAAGTGCCTTCTCGTTTAAAAGTACAGCGAATTTTTATACTCGTAATTGGAACATTGGAGGGATAAACATATGGAAAGGGGAGTTTTACTAAAGGAGAGGATAACTGAGTAGGATAAGATGGAACTCTTCACATGTACCTGACAGATACGCGTCTGGGTTTTCTTCAAGAATTTGACGCGGTACTTGGTAGAGAACTTTTGCCTGTTTAAAAGAAGATTGCGCCTCTCGACCAAGTGGATGCCATCGAAAATAAAATTCAATCTCAAGAAGAAAAACGACTATGGAGGAGCTAAGCCAGCTGCCAACGGCCCGAAAGTTTTTCTGGATTTATGAAGCAGCTAAATACGTGTCCAAATACTCTGATGAGAAAACGAACAGTTTTGAAGTCAGATATAGCCAAAGGAATGATGAAAGATCCAAAAAGCTCTTTGGATGCGTGGATAAGCCAAAATGCAATTGACTCCATTCCTTGTCTTAAGGATTATCAGGAAGTTAGTTACTCGAAAATTCAACTAAGACAAATCTCTTATCCGATTTATTCATGCCTGTATATACCGATAACTCTGGGATGGTTACAGCCCACTGAATCGCCTGGTACGGGTGGCACATCCACAAAAGTTTTGAAAGTACATGCAAACCAGCTGGCCTACCTGCTGTCCAAATTTTTCAAAACTTAGATTAAGGTGGGGGGTTTGTCTACTTAATGTCAGCTTCGCAAGGTAAATCCCATATATAAAGGGCGAGAAAGAACCCCTTCAGATATTTTCAGATCGGGGACTTTCGCAAGTATCTGTTACAAACTAAGGGAAAAATTAATAAAACAGAACTGATGAGGCATGCTAAGGTGAGCAGCTTACCTGTAATGCATCAAAATAGATCCAGGAGCGATCGATCTCTCTTCATTAACCCGTTTACATGCATGGAAATCCGAATGAAATTCCCAGAGGTGGGTTTTCCAGTAGATACACACTATATTGACTCCTTCAAAGCCTTTAACGCGATCCCATACTAATGGCTAATTTCTAAATTGCGTTAAATGGGCGTGAGTGGCAACCTACTCAAATGATTGGCCAACTTAATTGCAAGCGGAAATCAGCGTATTTACATTAATAACGTCAAATCTGAGTAAGAAACTGCTAACAATGGGGTCCTGCAGGACGAAGCTCCGGGTTCCATTCTACTTTTACGTATGTGGACGACTGCCTTGACTGCTTAACCTGTATACATGGAAAAAAGAGGGATTTCGAGGTACCCTTTATATTTCCATACGAAGAATAGGTTCCGGACTGCTGGACTTGACAAGTAGGGTCCGAAGGGTAAGGTAAGGTGTCAGCTAAGAAAAACTCCATTCACAAGAGGCACCATCCGACGTTTCTACAGGGCGATAGGAAGACGCTGAGCGATGTTGAACGCAGAGTAGTAGTCAATAAATGCTCTTGAACACACACATCAACTTCTGTCTAGTTTCTTAGAGCGGAATAGACCACAAGAACAACAGCATCCAATGCACTGCTCTCCAAGAAATTTTTATCGTCGTATTCTGAAAATCTTTTCAAATAAACACTTGTTCGACAATTCGAACGTTTTATTGTCAAAATATTAACCTTCCGCATTGGCTCATAGATCACTGTGAGATATTGCAAATTTGTTAAAAGTAATTCGATGCGTATTTTTCCGAAAGGAAAGATACCGCTCAAGCGGATAATTTCAGTAATAACAAAAGTGGAATAGAATACGTTTGGATCTCTCGAGCGATATATCTCTTTAGTTCAAAAAAGCATTATATTAGAGAAGAAACTCGAGAAAGTTGTTTTCTTGGGGTAAGAGTTTCAATGGCTCTAGATTAGATTCTGGTTTTACTAGGGTCGCCTTCCAATATCACGGGAATAGTTTCGGTTCACCTGGCTAACTGTAGAAAAATTTGAATGCGGTTTAGATGCAGTCCCTAAGAGAACTTTAGATTATGAGTTGCTTGAGTTGTCCTAGTAGTTGTTTGGAGTACGAAGTCTTAACACTGATAGGCTATGATGCAATAAAGCACAAATTAACAGGCGAAATAATCTAAAGCAACATTTGACCATGTTCAAGACACCTCCACGTTCGTCGGAGGGCTTGCATACATGACACGTAACAAAGCTTTAAGAATAGAAAATATATCGAATTATATAAAAATAGTCTAAAATAGTTTCTTGACACTAGAATTACTTTGTTTGTATGTGCCAATTTCACTAGCTGGTCACTCGTTTGGCGTTCGCGGGTTTCCGAACTCACCCGTTGGTAAGTGTTGTTTGTGTTTTGTTATTTCTATACGTGTTTGTCACTTTCTTGCAGCTCAAGAAATAGTACTAACCTTTCAAATTTCGTCGGTCTCTTCTGCTTAATTTTTCATTGTTTGTGCTTTTATATTTACTCGAGAAAATGAAATCCATTTTTTATTCTAAATAATCTTTCTGATTAGTTTTTTGAAGGTAACACTAGGCGTTTAAGGAAGACTGTATCCTATTAATTAGAAAGAAGGAGCGTATCGTTTCACAAATCCTAAATTATATTATTGTCTTGTTTGCATAGTAGCCCAGTTGATTGACTCATCTGCATGCATTGCTTATTTTCATTGCCAAGAAGCCAACTTGCCACGATGTCCTCTGAATGTGCTATTGATGTGTGTTAGACACAACGTTAGTCCTCAGGTCTAGATGTATGAGAATTTTACAACTAAAACCCGGGTTACGGGGTTCTGACTTGCAAGTTAATTTTTGTATCATGCCAGTTTATACGATAAACATTTAATTCAGATTAAAAATTTAAAAAATCCTTCGCTTAGTTGACGAAAACGTGAAGTAAAATTTTTTAGTATAAAAAGTTCGAATTTCTGGCATGCCGTTACTTAATACTTCTCCTTTTTACAATGCGCTCTAGATTCTATATTACTTTTTCTTACCGAAAAGGAAGACAACTTGTGGTCTGCTTTTTCGTATTTTCAGTTCACTGGCTGGAAATACGTAAGTGTTCTTGAAGTATGCGAAGTTTCAAGGTTCAAATGTTATTTGTTATCAGTCACTTCCCGTCTTTTATTTTGGGTACCCATTGATCATGGAACAAGCGAGAAGACAGCTTTCCTCTATTGATTCTCCGTCGCACCCATTTTTCAGTCCTGGGGAACGCTAAAATCAATTACTTTTTATACCGACCATATATTTTATATACCCTTAAAAATCCTGTAGTTGAAGTATCATGTGTTGTTCAATGTCTTCTCTTGATTTGGTGCTCAACACATCGAAACATTAACTAGAGTGCTTGTGAAGACTCCAAGGTATTTAAATCGATATTATAATCGAGCCATTCGATCATTTTCTGTGATTATTCTGGACTCTTCATTCGGCATTGTTTGAGAAACCCGATGCCATTTTAACTATAAAACATTAATATTTGGCGTTTAGAAAACATAACATCTAGGTACATTCTGTCAGTTTAAGCCATTTAAACAGCGTTATTTAATTCTGCTCACTGTACGTCACTGTCACCAATAAATATTGCTTCTTTTTTCTAAATGCCCTTTAGAACAATTGGGAGCTCTAAATAGCAATTTTTTTCACCCGTGTTCTTTACTAGGAACTCAAACTGGACAAAAAAGACTTTGGTTATCCATTCGAAGGGATGGGGGATGGGTTTCGTGGACGCTCTTCTACCTGGAGTGCTGGCACCACGTCAGCATACGGGAAAGGCGATCTGGTAGCTGGTCTAAACGAGGACTGCAAACTAGCTTACCCATTTGCCTCTTTAAGAAGTGGTCAATTTCAAGATGAGGCCCTTAGTCTTCAGTTTAACGACTTTGGCGATCTCCACTCCCCCAAATTGGGGCCTCATTATTCGCCCGCCAGTAGCACTACGGCGACCGAACTGGGTTCTCAGGAATTTCACCTCCGCTCGCACCTCCTAGATAAGACACCTGACTCCGACTATGGAGACGCGCGTTCGAACCTTCTTACTGTGATGGCCACCACCAGTCAATCTTCACCATCGCGTAGTATGCGAGATTGGAACACCTCTTTTGCCCTCTCCATGGGTCGCAGCTCTGGATTCCAGGATGTCTCCTCCTCTTCTACCTTCTCCCCCGTCTCCTCCTTTGGAACACTTTCGCAGGGTGTTGTGACTCCCTGTGGCACAGGCGCCGGCAGTTCCAGCAGTACCAATACCCTTCCACCATTCAGCTCGTCTGCTCCTTACCCCCTTAGCAATGGCTCCGGTTTTCCGGACGCAGCTTCTCTCAATAAACATTGTCCGGCCGCAGCATCTGCACACGTCTCAGGTTCTCCTAGTCCCGCAAATTCCCAAGTCTCGCTCCCTGGCCCTCTCACAAACTCTACTACTGCTGCCACCACCGGCAGTGGTGGTGCCACAAACTCGGCAAAACGACCCGCTCGACGCAATCCCTGGGGGGCGGAGACTTACTCTGATCTTATTGCTAACGCTATCGAGTCGTATCCGGAGAAACAAGCCACCCTACAGC